ATATAAATATATACACATAAATATACTATCTATACACACACACACACACACACACACACACACACACACATATATATATATACATGTATATATATATAATTCACACACCAGAGAATAGCTAGGCCAGCTGTTCCTCCCGTTAATTGAGTTCTATTAAACCATGCTACCAATCCCACCGTCAAAGTAACCGCAGCACCGCAGAGTTCTAACCGCAAACCGAGCCATCGCTGTAGCAGATAAGAGTAACCGCAAACCGCAAACCGCAAAGTTGGTCATGGAATGCATAGGGGAATAGCTTGAGTGTTGGTAGATACGTGTACGTGGCGAAGTGAAAGTTCATGCAATTAATTTAGGAGTATAGACGACTGTTTTATGCAGAGTAGATCTCAGAGTAGATGTGGAATGTCAATGCACATTCCAATGACATTCTCGTGCGCAGAGTGTACCGCAAACGAAATGCCATTGCACCGTTGCGAGAGTACCTGTGGGTCTAGCAATCCAAACTAAAATCCAAAAACCCACCAACCCAGAACCCTAAGTCCAGCAAGAGATGTGTAGCGCGGACATCTGCACGTGTGTGCATTCGTGTGGACATGATATCACAACAGTACTTAATAAACAAAGGGAGAAGTGGAATCTTGTGGTCTGAGTATATAGTGCATCTGAATCTAAGGCAGAACAACACTACACTGAGTGTACACGCCTGGTATTTGGTGATATAGAGCATACACACATACACACATACATACATACACACGTACACATGTGCACACATAACATACATACACACATACACATGTGTACACTTACACATATGACACATACACACACACAGATACACACATACACATAAGCGCACATACACATATACCTATATGCACACTCCCACACACACACACATACACATACACACACACAGATGCATACACACACACACACATACAAATATACACACACGCACACATGCACACATACACACCTATGCACAATCACATATACACAGATACACCCACCTGGCTGGATGTAAAGGCAAGCAACACAGCGGTGTTCTCGTCCACAATGTCGTAGTTGCGAGCAATATAATCACGTGCACACTCGAAGGCTTTGATAGTCACCATTCCATTGAGAGACTCACTGCAGTGAGCTTGGATGGGAGACCGCGAAAGAGCATCCAACCGCTGCAGCTGCATGAGAGTGTGTCTGATGCGCACAGATGATATGGTATGAGG